GCTTACATCTGAAACTGCAAATATAATCCATGTTGTTACAGGGAAGCTGAGGCTGTGATAATGCCAGGATATAGAGGCAAATGGTTGATTGTTGCCTTTTAAAAGGCAGCCTACTCAATCAAATAGTAGTAGAAAGGATTTGTTACAGTTTGTGCTGGGAAGAAGAGGAGCTGGAGGGTTTTTGGCTTGCTTATAAATGCTCATCTTCATTGAACTCACCGACTGTAGCACTGTATAACCCAGCTCCTCAGAGCTATTGAGAAGTGTACACCTGTGTGTACATTCAAAACATGCAAGCCATGGCCTTTCAGATTGATATTGGAAGGTGGGAGTTAAAACCTAATGCTCTTCAAAGCTGTCTCATGTTTGCATAAATGTGTTGTGTTGCATGCAGGGAGAAAAATTCAACTTTTATGTTACATGTTCAAAAGAGGCCCTTTGCATGTTCTGGTAATTCAACAACAGTTATTTGAGGTCAATCTTTGTTTCTTTTTCCCAGTTAAAAAGAATGGAGGAGTCTCATCAAGAAGCTACAGAAAAAGAAGTAGAGAGAATCTTGAGAATATTGCAAACTCATTTTGAAAATGATCGTAAGTATGATTAAATTTAGCATTAAGTAGAGAAAATGAATATTCTCCGTCTTCTACAGTTTGGAGTGCTAAAACTACAGAGACAAAATGAGCTGAAGTCTGCAAGTAGAGATCTTTGGTGAAGCACATATACCAACTGTGTATTTTTTATGAACACTAATCAGCTGTTGTTTGACTGCAAAGTAAATGTAAATCCTCTCCCCTGATTAAAGCCTGACTCTTTCAGATGGCAAATACATGGATTTGTGTGGGGGAAAAGATGGAAGACAATAATACACTATATAGTATACTCCATAGAACATTTGTTTTTGCAGGCAGCTGGGAATTCTGGATTTTAACTAAATTGACAAACATCCCTTTAGCTGTTGAAAGGTGCACTGGCTCTCTTGAGTTTGTATTTACATCTGTCAGCTCTGTGTATACAACTCTTTGTTTGTTTGTTTGAACGATGGTATTTTTGCCTCCCCAGCTAACACACCCATTTCCTTCTTTGATTTTGTGATTGATCCAAACTCGTTTGCACGCACTGTGGAAAACGTGTTTCACGTGTCCTTCCTTACCAGGGTAAGGCATGACATCTTTTTAAAATACCACTTTAGATACTTACCTAGATACTTACCTAGATATACTGACCTGTTTGTTTTCTGGCTTTGATATTGAACAATTAGGATTTAAATAGAATTTATTTTCTGCAAACAGTCTGTGATATTTTGGTAATCAAATTAAAAAGGAATCAGAGTTCACTGACTTTTTTTTGTACTGCAATCAATTTACCAACAAAATAGCAGTGATATTTTTGCAGTCAATATGTTTATCATAAAAAAAAATTCTGGCTCACATTTTAGATGTAGAAAAGTCCTCACAGAGTATGGAAGAGTTACTGAGGCTGTAGAAAACTATGTGGATTTTTGAATCCATGGATTTACTCTTCAAAACTGTGTTTAGTTTGCCTAATAAATAAAATTAATTCTGGAAAAGATGAAAACTGCCAAGGATATTTTGACTAATTCAGGTTTGATATTGAATAGAAATGTTATTATAAAGGGTTAGCTCAAGTATATTTAGAGAATAACAATGATTTTAATAAAGCATAGCTTTTATAATCCAGCAGTTACACATTGTTGCTATATGGGCTGCCTTCTTTATGCATTAGTGCTGTATTAAACTAGTTTGTTCTTATGTGGTATGCCAGTGAAGATTCTTTATCAGTATATGTACCTGTTCATGATTATGTAGTAAGTAAAAATATGAAATTTCAGCACATTATCCTAACTGGAAAACTAAGTTATAAAATTTTAAATCCCACTGCTGTTTAGGATGGTCTTGCAAAAATAAAGCTGGATGAGGATGGATTGCCAATAATAGGTAAAATATAGCTTTAAAATACTCTAATTGGTTTTTGTAAAAACATTACATGTTACATGTTCACAAAGTTTTAGGTATATTTTAAACTGGGGATATGTAGTGAATGTAACTGAAGGTATGAAGAGACTTATGAGCAGCTAAAAGGATTGAATTTTTTCAAATATCAATGTATGAAAAAAACATGCTGATTTATACAAATTAATTCTATTAATAGAAATCAAAGGTTATTACCTTTCAAGTTATATTTTTGCTAATAAGTACGTGAACATTATTACACTTGTCTAAAAAAGGTATTTTTGGGTGTAAGGACTCTCTTAACTCTCTTGTCTCAGAGTTGGGAGCTGCTGCAGCTTCAGAACAGTTGGAAAGGAAATTCTTCATTCAAGGCTGAATGAAGAATTCTCCATTCTTCATACAAGGTTGGCTTTCATTCCCACAGGATATCAGTGGGGTTAGGACTTTAGTGGCATATCATAAGGAATGAAATATTTAGGTCCTTCTGAAAAAAGTTAGTTCCTAAGTTTTTAAGAGAATAAGGAAATATCTCAAGCAGTACATGGCACAGGCTGCTGATAGAGACTGACTGGGTGGAACGTGTAGGATTGATCTGATTGTTGTGGAGCTTTTGTGTTCCTGGAGGTAACTGACTTCACAAGTACAAATGCTGAAAATGCTGTGTTTTGAGCAGAGCCATTAAAACCCAGTGAGGGAGGGGAGGAGGACAGCAGAGCTGGAGCCCGGAACCAGGTGGTGATAAGTCTGGACCAGAAAGAATGGAAGGTACCACGGAGAGCACTTCATTCTTTGGATCAGTTCTTTTTTATTTAAGCCTCTGAGAGCTGTGCTGGGGAGGGCAGTGTTCTGTGTGCAGAAACACTGCATTTGACCTCATGGATGCCAGAACAATCACAGATCTAAGGGATGTTTGTATCTGAAAGGAACAAAAAAAAAAGAAAACGGAGAATTTGGGTTGCGAACAATCACAGATCTAAGGGATGTTTGTAGCTGCAAGAAAACGGAGAATTTGGGTTGTGGTTCCATCTTTGATTGCTGAAGCCTGGTCAGTTTAAGTGCTCTGAAGCTGTGCACTGACTTCACTGTTTTATGGGTAAATATGGGATCTGTTTCTTCCCTGATGTTCAGTATTTGTCTCTGTAGGTAAAGTTATCCATGCAATTTCCTCACTGTTTGTAATAAATCTTAGACAAAAAGTAGTTTTGAGCACACAAACTACTTCTCCTTTGTCCCTCACTCAGAATGCACAGGAGAAATGTAGTAATTTGAAACAGTGTGTTAGTATCAGAAACTTTATTACTTACTTGGTGGTAATTAAATGGAAATAATTCATCTCTGCTGACTGACACACTGCTGTCATCTCTTACCAGGAGATCATAGAAACATTTCAGATAAGAGAAGCCATGATTACCCCTCTTTACCAGAGCACTGATGAAGACATGGAGACAGAGTAACTACTCAAGTAATTTCTGTTAACAAATCAGACTCAGTAAGTTCCTTATGCATGTGGGAGAACTTAGGGAAACTGCATGCGACTTAAAAATGCAAAAGAACTGTAGGCAGGCTGACTGTAACCTCTGGAATTGCTGTGTTCTTGCCCTCTTCAGGAAACAAAATGTAATCTAGCCTTGTATGCAATGATTAACTGGGAAAAAACCCTTTATTGTTGAGTTTAATGGTCAGTTAAATCATGAGTAATTTTTTTGGAACTTTATACTCAGAATGCAGTGTTTGAAAGAATCATAGCTTAGTTTTTCTGTTTGGTTTCTTAACTTCCTGACATCTGATGTTTTTAATAAAGTAGTCTCAAGAAGGACGTAGAGGGAACCAGACTGTCTTCCCTTCTGCTTCCCTAAAATTCTTCCAGTGACAGGACTGAAGTCCTTACTGTCACAGTTGTTTGGTCAATTCCAGATCCTAATTCATGTTGTCTTACTGTCTTCTCTTTTTTGTTTTTCTTTCCCCTTAGGTGCCTTAAAGAAAATACTTCAGGACATTTGTTTCAACAACTATTTTATATGTATATGTTGTAAAAATAAATTTATTTTTTCTGGAACATCTCAATGCTTTATACGAGCTGATTTGTTTAGAACTGTGGAATGGGTTGGGTCAGAAGGGACCTTAAATCCCATCCAGTGCCATGGGCAGGGACATTTTCCACTGTCCCTGGCTGCTCCCAGCCCTGTCCAGCCTGGCCTTGGACACTTTGAGGGACCCAGGGGCGGCCACAGCTGCTCTGGGCACCCTGAGGAAGTTTAGACTTGTCACAGAGTTATTGATATATTATGGCTCAGTTTGCTATTTCATATAAAGTTTACTGGCACTGATGAAAAGGTAAAAAGCAAACACTGTCCCTTCTTTCCTCCCTTGTCTCACCCCAGCAGCAGCAAGTGGAATTCACATGGTTAAACATCCCTGCAGGGATAATCTTGCTATCCTGTATGATTTTGGGTGCTGTAGGAGAATTACTACTGCCTTGCTGTTCTTGCTATTCTGGAAATAAATGTTTGAGTTAGGAAATTTGGTCTCAATTACAGACAGCAGTTGGTCTCAATTACAGATAGCAGTTCCCCCTTCCTTTATTCCAAACTCCTCCTGTATTTGTTAGGTACTTTGGACATTGGGCAGGCTCTGTGGGGCCAGAACATTATTTTAATAAAAGTACTTGTATAGAAGTCTTGTTCCATTCTCAGAAAACGCTCTGTGGAAGTGCTCAGGATCTCTCCCACCCTTTTACCCTGCTGTAGCAGCTGAGGGGGGTACAGGGATCCATCCCCGGGCAGGGCTGTCTGCGGGGCGAGACGCTGGGCAGGCCCTGAGGGTGTGCGGGACACGGCCGGGGAGCCGCGGCGATGTCCGCTCACCGACCCGGCGGCGATGTTTGTCCGCTCACCGACCCGGGGGCGATGTTTGTCCGCTCACCCACCCGGCGGCGATGTTTGTCCGCTCAACGACCCGGCGGCGATGTTTGTTCGCTCACCGATCCCGCAGCGCTCTGTGCGCGCCGATCCGCCCGCGGGGGAGGCCCGGCAACCTCTCGCACGGTGCGGGCGGGGCGGGCTGGGAGCGGGGCCGCCCCGGGCCGGCCGAGAAGCGGCGGGCGCGGGGCCGGGGAGGGCGGCCGGGACGGGCGGCGGCTCGGCAGCAGCCCCCGGCCCCCGGCCGGAGCTCGGAACGGCTCCTGTGGCCCGGTGCCCCCCAATGAGCGTGACAGAACTGAGCCGCGGTTCTGTGTTGTTTACCTTGTGTATTTCTGGGGAGTGGGAGGTGCAGAGGGGAACTGAGCGCTGGTGTGGTCACAGAAATATGGTCAATTGCGTCCCGAGATTTGTGTTGGGCTTAGGGCTTTTATATTTAATGTGGTTATTGAAATCAGTAATTACCATATTTAGGAATATGTTAGATCCCTGAAAGTCATCTATGCATAAGTGGTCATGAGATTTGCAGTAAGCATAGAATCACAGAATGGTTTGGAAGGGACCTTAAATGCCAGCCAGTGCCACCCCTGCCGTGGCAGGGACACCTTCCCCTGTCCCAGGTGCTCCAAGCGCTGTCCAGCCTGGCCTCGGGCACTGCCAGGGATCCACGGCTCTGTGCCAAGCCCTGCCCATCCTCACAGCCAGGAATTCCTGCCCAAAATCCCTGCCCTCTGGCAGTGGAAGCCATTCCCTGTGCCCTGTCCCCCCATCCCTTGTCCCCAGTCCCTCTCCTGGAGCCCCTTTATGCCCTGGCAGGGCTCTGAGCTCTCCCTGGAGCCTTCTCCTCTCCAGGTGAGCACCCCCAGCCTGTCCCAGAGCTCAGGGGCTCCAGCCAGTGCTGCAGAGTTTGTTGTATTTTACAGCCAAACCATGGTCAGTCAAGTGTGCTGCTGTGTTATTTATTTCAGGCATGTGGGCACATTCGATGACAGTTCAAGACTACCAGGATCTCATAGACAGAGGATGGAGAAGGTACATTGAAAAAGGAAATACAAAGCCATGTTGTCAGTTGAGATTAAAGCTACAATCCATATTTAAAGTTTAGATCTATAGAAACAGTTATATATCCATGAGTAATTAAACTTTGTCCAGTGCTCTGTGACCTTTTGTAACATGATTACTGTCAGTGATTTTTAGAAGGATAATATGGTCATCAAAGAACTGAAGAGCTTGCTCTTTAACTTTTCATCACTAAGTTTAGATGTGATTTTTATAAAAAAGCTTCTTCATTTATTTTGTAGTATAAACAACAAAAAAAATCAGTGCATATTCCTTACTCTTTTCAGAAGTGGAAAATATGTCTACAAACCTATCATGAATCAAACATGTTGTCCTCAATACACAATAAGGTAAGAAACTCAAAGTACACTTTTGTAAGGGATTTGACCACTTCAAATATGTTCCACCATTTGTGTTTGCTGCTTGAAATACATCATACTTGAGAAGTTGATCTACTTTTAATGATAATTTGAACAGTAAATATATGCTCTTGGGTTTGTGCATAGGGACATCAGCTGCTCTGGGATATTTTCCTGTAAGGAAATAACCTTGTCTGCAACCCACAAACACTGCTTTAGCAGCCCGAATAAGAGAGGCTTACACTTGTATTTTAGTAATCCTAGATACACACCTAAAAAAGCATGCCATAAGGATTCATATTATTCAGTAGAAAACAACGTAATTTCATTATCTCAAAAGTGTTGATAAAACATTTGACCACTCAATATAGGGAAACTTAAGAAATAAATAGATTACAATGTAATTTTTATAAGTGCTTCTTTAACCTTTTTTTCCTGAAACAATCTTTCACAAAAGAGATGTTCTTTTTGTTCTTTATTAGGTGCCGGGCTTTGCATTTTCAGGCCTCCAAGTCCCACAAGAAGGTTCTGAAGAAAATGTTGAAATTCATTTCCAAAGGAGATGTTTCGAAAGTAGTGAGTGAAGGTAAGAAACACTGAGTGTTTGAAAACCAAGGAGGATTTAAATACCTGCTTGAGTGGTCAGATGGCAGATGGGCTTTGAATTCTGTGTGTAGACCCCTGGCTGGGCTGTGTCTTGAGCACTTCAGCAGCCCAGAAATGAAATTGTTCAGGTGGCTGGGGTTATTGAAGAAAATATTTCCTTACTTTTTCCATAGACCAGCTTATTTTCCTGGGCATGTCCTCACTTTCTAGCTGGGTGCTGTAGAGAATTAGATGCTGTTTTTACTTCTATCATGAAACTGATAATATGGAGAGGACAAACTACAGCAGCTGGTGGCAGAGAAAAGGAAAAGCAAACTAAGAGGGTTTTTCCAGTCATTTATCCAACACCAAACCCAGCAATTCTTTATGGTGGTAAAACTTGTATTGCTTCTGAATCATTATAATTGCCTCTTTTGTATGCATGGTATGCTAGGTTTATTTGTTGTTTATTTGAAATAGTTTATTTGTTATTTATTTGAAATAGTTGACTGTCCAATTTTAGCGGAGAAAATAAAACTGTTCTCATAAATGAATTGATGTTCATAGTTTGGGATCATAAAGGAAACTTTGTGTTCAGACTGTTGCAGTAGTCACTTTATCTGTGGGAAAACACTTGTAAAATTGGAAACTAGTTAATTTAGTGTTAATTTTAGTTGTGGAAAGTGTGAGCTGAGGTTGTGCAGAGAGAAATTCACTCATGCATGTTTTAATTATTGACAGAAGAGCCGATGGATTCCCATATAGAGGATGTGGCCACGTGTGATTTTCCACACAAAAGCGAGTCCCTGGTCAGTCAGTCTGACCTGACTCCCTTGGCTGTGGATCAGGCTGAGAGGGTGGAGAATGAAGATAAGGAGTCAGGAGAAACAAAAGAAGAGGGGAATGTGCAGAAGGTGGAACCGGATTCTGTTCAGATCTCTGCAGACAAAGACACCCCAGTCCCTGCAGAGCCATCACATTCTGCTAAAGCTCTTCATGCACCACCTAAGCCAGGTAATTTCTGGTAGTAATTGGAATATGCTGTCATCATTTCACATCTTCTTGAAATCTCTTCTTTTTATCTTGCTTAGTAAATTAATAATTGTTTTGTTTTATTTCCTGTGCTCCTCCCAGTTTGTGGAATTACAGCACAAAAATTGAGAGGCGCTGGCTGTTACTTGTAATACTGTATTATTTTGTTACATTAAAAAGTTACATTTATCTTCTTTTCCTCACCTTAAGTAAGACTAAATCTCTAAGATCTGAAACTAAAGAGGGGAGATTCAGATTAGAAATTTTTTATTATGAGGCTGGGGGTGCCCCTGGATCCCTGAAGTGTCCAAGGCCAGGCTGGATGGGGTTTGGAGCCACCTGGGACAGTGGAAGGTGTCCTTTCAAAGGTCTCTTCCAGCCCAAACCACTCTGTGATTCAGTGGCTGCCTTCTCTTAGGACATGGGTGATTTCTGGCAGGAAGATGGAAAGGGGTGGGTGGATTATTGCCAGAATAATTTATTTGAGGTAGAATTGCTGACAGACACTTTGTGGCCCAGTGGCTGCAGGTAAGGCAGCTTTGCCTTACAGATCTTGTTTCCCATTTTGTGCAGCCTGTTCTGGCAAATAAAGGGAATTTCCTTCATTGTGGCTTACTGGTACATGGTAGGGAAAATCCTACTGGAAACTTGTGGCTTTAGAGTTTCTGCTTGTGTTGGGACATCCTAATAATTCCTGATTTCACTCACCTGTTCCATGTTGTGCCAGTATTTAGGAGAAGGAAGTACTTTTGTCTCTTTCTGTAGCATGGTTGATTTCAAGTGAAATACTGTTTTTTCCTTAATAACCACTAATCCCCATTGGATCTGATTTTCATCGCTTAATAAACGTTTTTTTCATCTAAATAAAAGGAAAGTTTTCAGAAATGCTTGCTCAGAGAATCAGTAGTGATACATAGAAATATTACAAAATTTTAAAAACTGTGTTTTATATTTTGATCTTATACAAACCTTATATAGTTTATTGTTTATATGACTTTTATTATGCAAATTTTCAAAGCTCTCTTGTTTTAAATAATAAATTTAAAACTTTGACCTATGTAAAGTTAGTATTGGAAAGAAATTAAGTGGCTGTTGACAGCAGATGGCAGACTTGGGTAAGGAATAGGAGTGTAAAAATCTGCCAGTGCTTTGGAAAAGGTGAAGTAAGGTCTTCAGTTAGGTTAAGAATAGCTTCGAGTCAAACTTTAAGGACTGAAAATGCAGATAAGTAACATTGTAGTGCATTTCAGGAAAAAAATGTTTAATTTAACAGGGCAGAAATTTTCGTTAGTGTGCTTCTTTCTGGTGTTTCTAAAGATAGAAGTGAATTTCCTTCTCCTAAATAAGTGCATCAGAAAACTCATTTAAGTTTTTTTTTTTTTTTAATGCTAGCTGGTGTCACAGGTCAAATTTAGTTTAAAATTTTCCAGATAGAAAAATGTTTAGTTTTCATCTTGGAAAATGTAGACTTAGTCAGTAATAAGATTGTTTAATTGCATTTTTATTCCTTTATAAACAAAACAGGTCATTGTCCTCTAGGAATAATGGTCTGTTTCTGCACAGTTTCAGATAGAAAAGAAGGTTTGCTTATATCTGTGTAGGCACAGTCACTGCTTGTAGAAGTTTTTCTTGCTAATTTACAGCTTACAGAAGATAGGAGACATGAAACAGATCCCGATATAGATGGAGTATTCATTCTTCAAATACATCATGAGAGTTTTAAATAAACTCTTCCTCTGACTTGTTTGCCTGAGGACAGGTCACACAGTGTCTGTAATTCCCTCGTGTCTTTGGATCTGTGTTGCTTTACAACTCACAGTTCTTGTATTAGTAAGGAACAAATGGATCAAGATGGGAAATAGTGAATGGGTTTGACTTCTTTTAGCAAATACCTTTTCACAAATAGAATTCTATAAATGACTGATCTGTTAGAGGTAAACTGCAAAATGTGAATTTATTGATTAAAACAGACAATCTAAAGATAGTTTTAAGTAAAGATGCAAACTTCTGTGGCCTTTTCCATTACATGACCATAATAGCATTGGCAGCATTTCTACATCCTGCCTATGGATTCCAGGTGAGAAAAAATAAATGCTTTACTTTGGGGTGTGTGTCTTTACAGGAGTTTGTGTTGTACCACACACACATGGGCTTTGAATGTAGAAGAACAATTCTCTGTGATTTTCGTGGTTGTATTTTTGTCCTTCAGTATTTCAAGTTTTTAAACACACCTTGGCTTTGGGGTGAAATGGTCAAGGTGACTCCAGATTAGTGCTGCAGTAAGAAGCTGTGGAAGCATCCCTGCATTAGCATGGCATCAGGTGGTGCTGGTTGTAAATGTGAAAGGCCATGTTGAGTTCAGAGCACAGGCTGCAGTAAATGGTGACTTTAGCCATTTCCTTTCAGAGGTGAGAGCTGTTTGCTGTCAGGTGTGGTGTTTCACTCTTTGCTGTGCCCTTGTAGGGAAGGGGGCTGATCTGAGCAAGCCCCTGTGTCGGAAAGCAAAGGACATCAGGAAAGAGAGGAAACTACAGAAGCTCCTCCAGAACCAGATGGGCACAGCAGAAGGCTCTCAGCTTCAAGGAGATCAAGCTTTCCTCTTGCAAAACTCTAAACCTAAAACAAACCAGCCTAAAAACATTGAAGACTTTGTTTGTGTCCCTCTACCTGATGATGCACGACACAAATTAGAGGTAATCTCTTGTTTGCTGTTGTTGGAGGCAGATGAAGGAAAGGTGTACTTAAGGACTTTTTGAAAAGCTTAAGTCTGTATTTTTGGCTTTATGGAGTAGTTGTGGCTTAAATCTTGAAGTCTGTGTGGTATTGAGTGATGTATATTTTTATATATATAGATAGATATGCATCGTAGGAGTGTCTATATATTTATATTTATATTACACACCTATGGTGCAACTCTTTTTAACCACAGGAGGGTACTCTTGTACTGCAATGTCCTAGCAGAGGCCAGTTCAGTTACTAAAATAACTTGCAAATTAATTTCATACAGAGTGACTTGAAAATGAAAAACTTTGAATTAACCGAGTGTTAAATAATGAGAGAAATTCACTGTTTAGCTCTGCAGTATATAAATACTTAAACTATCTAAGCTAATGAAACTTGACAAGGAAGCAGTAACTTCATGAAATTAATCAGTTAACAAGATAGTTGCTCTTTACACACATCATTGGGTGTTGATGTCTTTGAAAGCTGTAAAAATGAGAATAAAAAAGTCTGGTTGCCACTACACTTATGAGACAGTAATCTGGAAGACGTTTGGACTTTATAAGATTTGTTAATCATAAAACCATTTTTCTTGTTATTTTTTCCATAAGCTGGAAAGCTAACTGAATGTTTTCCTGATCATTTTCAATGATGCTACTGGAAATGAAAATATTTGCTGACTAGAAGCCACGAAATTGATCCATCTCCCTAACTCCACATTTCCTGAGGAGTTCTTTAACAGAAATATGATGGCTTTGTTTCAGCATCTTTTTAGAAGATGCAGGGAGAATTAGAAGTATTAAAAAAAAAATTGCTCTTTGTGAAAATGGAACCATTCTGAAAATTACATTGTTTTTGAAATTACTATGACCTTAAATATTTTTGAAAAGATGTGCACTGCTGCCTCTGTGGTAGCATTCTTTTGCTTAGGGAGCAATCATTTTCACTAAGAAGAATGTTTAATTTATAGATTATTTTTAAAAATGATTTTTGTGTGTTCAGTGGTGATGATGTGAAGACTAGTAACTCCTTATTACAGTTAACTCATAATTGAGTGTGGATGCACTGCTTCATCTTCCTCTTTCAATTTCAAAAATATCTGGAAATTCTCTTGGGATTGTTGCCATAAAAACGTGGGTTTTGAGTGAAAAGCAGCAGAGATTGGAGTCTTCTAAGCCTTTCAAGTATTTTTCAGTGTACTGTGAGGCTATGAGAGAATATTTTAAGTAGCATAGAAAATATCTTTAAAATTATGATCTGCATACTATTTGTTGATATTATTTTCTGAAAATTTTGTAGTTCCTCTCTAACCATTTTAGTTAATTTGCAGTTTGAAAACCTTCTGTGTTATTCAGTGTCAATTTAAAAGCTTTCAGCAGCATGAATTGAGCTGGAGAATTACAAGACTCTTGGCTGATAGTAATTAATTTGTGATGGCCCTTGTGCAGGAGGGTGAAATTTCTCTCTGTTGTGATGTTTGTGTTATGTATAAATGTATAGTCATTGCATGATATTGTAATAATGAATGTGTTTAACTTCTTCTGAAGGTGAGGGTGGTGAGATCATCTCCACCAAGTTCACAGTTCAAAGCCACATTTCAGGAGTCTTACCAGGTCTATAAACGTTACCAGATGGTTGTTCACAAGGACCCACCTGATAAACCAACCATAAATCAGGTCAGAAGGCCAAATTTAATTTTATGCAAAGCTTCCCCTCCATTCCACGTGTCCTGTTTCTAGGAGAAACAAATGTGGATTTTATATCCACTGTGTATTCAGGAGCTTGTAAAATACTGTATCCAATAAAATCAACATCCTGAAAGTGCAAACTCTTGATACTTCTCTGTGAGTGTCACAAATATTTGATTTTAGTTGCAGGCAGAAATGTCATGGATGCTGTTGGGTAAGAAATTGAGAGGGTGAAGCTCTTGGAGATAGAGATGGACCTTAAAAATACCAGTCCCATAAGAACTAAATCCAGCTGGACACTCAGCCTGATAACTGTTCTACTTAGCTTTGGTTTGAGTGTTTCCATAAGCAGGATATAATGATCAGGGCCAGCATGTGAGCAAAAGTTTATCACACACACAAATTGTTGGTTTAAGGATCACCAGAGTAAAATAATTTTCTTCAGTTTCAGTTTAAGCCTTTAAAAATGACCTGTGCACTCCATCCAAGTTTGTACTCTGTTGCTGCTTCCTGCAATGAATAGGTGGAGTGCAAGAGTGAACTGTCAGATGTGTTACATCTCTATTGTAGAAGGAAAAAAAGTATCATGAGTTTGGAGGAACAGTATGAGTAGCAAGAACAAGTAATTGTTGAACCAGGGCAATCAATGAACGACGTGCCATTAAAAATAAAACATTTTAAGAAGTCCTTGAGACTATGCAATAAAACTAAAAATTTTAGTTGATTGTTAGATGTCAGTAAAAATAGGAAGTTGTCATATTATTATGTTTAAGGTAAAAACTGACTTCAGAGGCTTTGAAGTGCATAGGAGGAGATCTTTCACTAGCCTGACCTTCAGAAGCAGATTACCTGACGACATGCACTCAAAACAGAATGCTTCTATTTCCCTTGCTCTGAAGGTGAGGTTAGTACCTGTCTCCTTTGAGGACCCCCAGTTCAAATCATCCTTCAACCAATCTGCCACTTTATTTGCCAAGTATCAGATGTCTGTACACAAGGACACACCTTCTGACTGTGGGGAGAACGAGGTACAGTTCACTGCATGCACCTTTCTGCCAACAGCTGCTTCAAATGCACACCTAGATGCTGGGAAATGCTGTCTCTTAGAGCTAATCTAAATATTAAGTCATTGAAATTGCCATTTCTGAGGTTTTTTGATGGCAAAATCATCTTCTGCTTTAAAAGTTCTTTGGTACCCTTTTTATATTTCTCCCTAATTTTTTGTGTTCTCACTTAATTTAACAGGTGAGGGTTTTAAAAATCTCAGTTTTATAATCATTCCATTGCTAAGCACACTGCTCAACTGGAACTCACCTTTACAGTAGGAATAATGCAAAAATATCTCACCAGCTGATCATCTGAGGCTTGATGAGAATATGTTGCATATGGATAAACCCTGCTCTTAAAAGGGTGTTTACAGAGGATAATCCTAATTTAATAAATGAAAAATAATTAAAAAATACTCGTGGGGTTCTGAACAAGCAGCAGTTCTCCATTTCTCTGGCAGGTGGCACAACCTGCTCCTTGACAGAATTAATGAAAATTCTACCTCAGATCTCTCACTTCTATCTACTGCAGATGTGCAGCTCTATTCTTGGTCAGCTAGTCAGGATTTTCTGTTCCTGAGAGTGAACTACCTGCAGAAGTGAAACCTTGTAAACTGGGGCTGTTTTCCAGGTAGAATTGTAAAACCACATCATAATTTTTGGCTTTAGTTCAAGAGTGTAAGGAGAGCTGGTTTTTTTTCTTGTGAGATGTCTGTAATGCTACTCTGGAAAGTCATAAAATCCATTTCACTTTGTTTAGTAAAATAATAGGTCTCATAACAGTAAGTAGTAGTCTCTACCCTTTTTATAATTGCTGGCATAAGTGGGTTTAATTATAATAATGTAAAAATTGGAGACATGCCAAGAGAGACTGAGCTATTTACTAGATTTGTACCCAGCATTACCTGGGCAGATTAGAGACTTGATTTTTCTGCTAGGGTGGAAGCATTTCAGCCTGGGGAGATGTGTTAGGGACAGTCAGGTTTCCACCACCTGAGGGTGTAAAGGCTGTCCTGGGAATTGCTGTTGAAGGAGATGGAAGGAAATGGATTTCTGTTGACTGCTAACAGTGTAACAGATTTTTATTCTCTTTTTCCTTATTACTTGCCATAGGGGTTTCCCTGCTTTGCCTTTATCTCCTCTCTTTGGCCTCATGTTTGTGCAGGCTTAGATAATTCCAGGGGAAACATAAAACCTTCTCTGAAGCATCTACTGAATGTAAAAACTTGGTCTGATGCTGATGGGTTTAAATTTAGGCTCTTTTTCAGCCTTGGGAAATCATATTTAGTGTCCATGAGACTTCCTGGCCAAGAAGGTTTTTTTATTCGCAATTAGGAACTAACATTCTTCCTTCAATCAACATTTTGTATTTGATCTCTGCAGGAAGTAAACTGAAGAATGTTTTATACAAAAATATGTTATCATGTAGCTTAGAAGTCTTTTTTTTTTTTAATATTGAATTTGTGTGGGAAGAGAGTTATCTGAGTCACTTCTGAGGTACCAAGTAGGGTAAAACTGGTCCAAGTTACTGAGAGGAAGGGTGGAAAATGCTACTTGTAAGGCCTCAAAACTTTTTCTGCTTCCTCTTTTTCAGACTTTTTAATATATTATACAGACCTTATGGAACCAAGGAGTTTTTTAAGCAAAGGGAGTAAAATTCTGTGCTATACACAGGACCTTTTATCAGGATAGCAAGAAGTCTGCTTTCACTTTAACCTGGCAAATATCCAGGATTTTTTCACTTTGAATTTGTGCAAACTACTCTGTGAGGCTGTTGGGGTTTTTTTTAGGGAGAGTCCTGCACACTTTTGTGTTTGGAAAATTTCTAGTTTAGGAAGAGTTTTTAGCTTTATATTTGGCTGAACACTTCATACTTAGAAACCTGCCTATATTTAAATTGAGAATCCAACAAAGATCGTTATGGGACATATTAACAACTTCTTTTGGGAATATATTCTTAGATTGTTGGCATTACAACACACTATCTGTTGCTGGGTTAGTTTAATATTAACCTTATTATATTAAAAAGCAATTCTGAAAATCAATTTAGAATTTTGGTGGTTATTTGAGAATAACACTAAAGGGAAAAACTGTAAAAACGTTCACAATAGTAACAAAAAATATGTGAACAATGAAGCTGATTATTGCTCAGTGAGTGTGGAGAAGGCCTTTTTGCACCTCAGGAATGTAAATACAGTTTTCATCAGGAGTTTATGTGAGAAGGGAGAGTAGAGGATTTTCAGGGCAGGGAATTGTGGAATTGAACTTTTGGGCACTCTCTGGTTAATGCCATTTTGAGCCCAGTGATAATTGGTGTTTTGGTGTCCTTCATGATGCTGAGTCTCTTTCAATTTTGCCTTTTTCTCCTTTCCTTCTTCTGCTTCCCTGCTGAAGATTGCACAGCTCTAATTACACTGTGTTCATTGAAATAATTGGAGACTTTGCTGGGGAGAATCCTGCAGTACATTTTGGTGATGCAGTACTGATTCCTGAGTGAGGCAGTGACTTCTGTTTGTTCTAATTAAAAGTAAGGTGGAAACTGGTGAAATCAACTTTTCCCAAGTTCCAGACTTGTGATAAGACTCTGCTTTCTATGGAAGCATCACCACAATCTTCTCCTCCTCTTTCACTGGCAAGGAGAGGATTGGAGAAGGTAAAACTATATTATCTTTCTGCCAAATATGTTAATTTTCTATGAACAGTTTGAAATATTTCCTTGCTCCTGGAATTAAAACCAATTTAGCCTGCAGGAGAAAAAAAATCAAATTGGTTTTTATCTTGGCATAAAAACCACAACTATTTTCTGCATAGTCTTTTAAAATATTCATTTTATCATTTTTTCTTAGTTGTTCTGGTAGAAGTTGAATTTACCCTGAAAATCCTCTCATCCCTCTTAAGAACTTTTGATCACTTGCTGCAGGAATTCAGCTTCAAAACTGACTTGGTTGTGTCTGTGCTTTGGAGTGGAGTCAGTTCCTGATGCTACACAAACTTGTTGGCACTGAAGAATGTTGATGTCAGCATGTTTGTATTGTATGGAATTGATGTCCTGAGGAAAAACATAGCAGACAATTTTCATACTGAAAATTTCTTTATAATACTTGCTCCTAAATAGTGCAGAGGAAAAATTGATTTTCCAGTTTTCTTCTGTGGGAGCACAAAACTTTATTAAGCTACTGTGTAAATGCATGGGCATCCACTGTTTGAGGAATATATGTATTTTTATTAGAGTTGTTGGAGAAAATGAGGTGAATTAGGGGGAACCTGAACAAATTGTGAAGTTAAAGTATAAATAGCAATGAAGGAGTTCAGATAAAATAATGGAAAATAGGCAGATAGGTGTATCCCTGCCTGTTGGAGAAGCTTATCCAACGCTGCTCTTGAACTAGCCAAGTTCCTGAGCTGCTCATTTTTGGAAGATAATGAAACAGTCAGGATTAGTGTTTGTCCCATTCTTTGCATTTCTTCTGACCCTTCATGAAAATGCTTTATGTGGCTCTTTATCTCAGATCCAAAATGATGATCAGCAAGTCCCATTCCCAGTATAGCAGAGCTGTTATTCAAGGGGTTTTTTTTTGTTTTGTTGTTTTCTTGGGTTTTGGCTTCTTTTAAAGTAGTGGAAGATGAGCCTGAGGAGCTGTGTCTGTAACATACAAAACCCCCACAAATGTAATCAGTTACAAGGATTTTTTTGTTTGGGTTATTTCCTGGCTTAGTGGTGGTTATATTTATTTTGTGAAATGGGTCAAGCTATAAGGAAAAGAAATTGAAATCATGAAAGCTTAGAAAAACTGAGAAGTGGAGACCTCTAATGAGCAGAGCAGAGAGTAGGCTGAGCATCCTTATATTGAAAAAACCTTGGATCCCTGTAGCATCAGTGAAAGATCAGTTAGAGCATAAATTATAGAGCTGATCAGCATATCAGGAGTAAAATAATTATGCAAAAAAATCATGTGGGTGAAGGTTTGTCCACCTTTTTTTTTTTTCATTTTTCATAAGAAAAACAATAAATACTAATACAGCTTTGTTGTAATAATTCATGCACAGAGAATTGGACAAATATGAATTTGGAATCTATTTTTAAAATTGAGTACATTTTAATAGCCTTTGGCTATGGAAGGATGATCTGAGAATAAGAATGGACTTGTGTTTTTTGTATAATCCCAAGATTTGGCTCTTTGGGTGATCCAATTCCACTGGATTTATGGAAGCTGTGTAATGGCTTGTCTGTGCTTTGCTGAGAGCAGACCTTATCTGCAAATGTTTTGACTTTTGCTCAGCACAAAAAATCCCTGGTTTTGGGTAGGAAATGCAGGAAGGGCTTTGCAGAACACAAATCATGGAAGATGCTGTGATCCAGCTCCACCCCAGCTTCAGGATGTTTTATAAAATACATGGAGATAGGTATTTGAGAACATTTAGATAATTTCAGGTAGATATTTCAGAACGTTTAGATCATTTCAGACAGATATTTCAGACCATTTTGCCACCTGAATCTCTTGTGGTTTAGATGAAGCAATGTGATAGATTAAATTATAGGTACAGGTGTGGAGCTCTGCAGGTCTGGATCAAAGAATTTGCATGAAACAAATATAGTCAAAACATTTTTTGACCTTTTCATGTCAAGGAGGAAATTTTTGATCCCAATGAAATAATCAGTGGCTAATCTGGATAGAACAGAGGGTGTCTTTAGCAGTTCTTAATGAAGTATCATCTCATCAGAGGCATCACATTTCTGCCCCAGTGCCAGAATCTTCAAATCTTTTTAGAGCAATCTTTGTCTTTAGGAAACCCAGCTGAAGTGTAACTGAAACAAGCTATGTGGCAGCTACACAAGCTAGAAAACATTTCCATAAAAGACCATAAAAATCCTACAGTAGTTTCCAGAGAGAGCAAGAGTGAACAGTTTATTGCTATTGCTCCTGAAGCAAACGTTTTATTTAACATTTCACGAGGGTTTCATAATGACAAACTTGTAGGAAAACAGTATCTGTCTGTTCCCTCTGTGAAAGTAGCTGGACTCTCTCTTTGCTTTGTGCTTAGCTAAATATTTGTCTTGGAAGAAAAGAATTTCAGGACACACAAAAGATACACTGTTTGAAAAGGTGCAAAAAATTACTGAAATACGTGGAGTGGGGTTTTTCTTTCACCCTCCTTCCCTCCCCTTTTTTTTTTTTTTAATTGCTTCCCAGGAATCCACTTGAACCAATAGAAAAAACTGAGTGAGCAGGCTGAGAAATGCCAAAGGAGCACGTTCTGATCAGCTCCAAACTGGTGTCAGCAGCCAGTTGCAAACTTCTAGGTCTCCCTAACCTAGTTTCCTCTCTTGTATTCTAGTGAGAGAATGCTTAAAAATCAATAGCCTTTGTGGTTATTTTTAGCCTTCTGCACATTTTTATTCAGCTCCTGGAAGCCATGGCAGAACATTTCACTGCAGTGAACTTGGATTTCACATCCTGGTGGCTCTGACTTCAGGAATTTGAATGATTATTTCTATATCAGCCCAGTGCCTTCTGTTTATTTGTGTGGCCTTGTGACTGCAGTGCTGTGGATTCATGGATTTTATCATGAAATGCCTATAAAAGCAAAAGAATTTAGGCATCCAGACAATTAGGTAACTTGTCCACAGTCATATAATTTCTTTAGATTCTTTTTGCATCTCAGTTTATATTGTTCTTGATTTTGCCACTGGAATTTCTAAAATTAAATAATCTTTACTGTAATGCTGATAAACTTCCAATATACTGAGAGGAGGTTTCTTCTGAGCAAGAAAGCCACAGTGACTTTTGTCACTCCATAAAGGAATTGAAATTGTAACAGAAATGTACAATATTTCATTAGTCCTATCCTTGCACTGAAAACTGCATTTGAGACATGCATTTAAACTTTAAATCCCTCTTGCCTTTGTAAATTTTAAATCCTTCTTCCTAGTTTTGAAGGCTCTTTCTTCACCTTCAGGTCTGTGGATATCTCTGAAACTCTGTTGTTTTTTTCACGTCTGTATTTTTATAAGCATTCAGCTGAAAATGCTGAATAGAGCCAGCTCAGTCTTTGATTCCTCTGCTGAACTCTAATTTATTGCTTGGTTCAAGGGTGGCTTGCACCATCTTTTCCTGTAAAAATTCTACATTTTGTCCCATTTTCCTAATTTCTACAGAAAGTTTAAAAATTTACTTCATTTTTTATCTCCATTTCAATGTATTTTCCCAGCTCGTTTGTTTCTATTGTTTGGTTTGTTGTTTTCTTTTCTGTGGGAGAAGGTTGTTAGCAGCTGCTCGTCGTCTTGTTGAAACACTGACTTATTTTTACTTTTTCACTGCACAACTTTATGATTAAGACTGATTCTAATCTCTTTTGGGTAAGGAAGATTATTTCTAATGAAATACGGCAGCACAGAAGTGATGCACTGGATTTGCAGGTTTTATGACTTGCCATCTTTATTTTTCAGTTTCTTATGAGCCTTGCACCTCTGTGAAGAACAAAGAAAAAAAAACCATGTGATCAAAATCCTTGGTTTATTTTAATCCCATTCAGAGATTGGGTTTTAAAAAATTGAAAAAAGGAAGGCCCAAATCCCATACTCATTGCATATCCTTCTATATCCCAATCCTTGGTTTATTTTAATCCCATTCAGAGATTGGGTTTTAAAAAACAGAAAAAAAGGAAGGCCCAATTCCCATATTCATTGCTTATCCTTCTATATCCCAAAAAAAAGGGCAAGTACTCAGTTTTCCTTGTGAATTGCAAATATGAGCAAACTCTTAATCATCAAGGGGAAATGATAAATGAATGTTTTTTGTGGTGCCTTTGTGGAATAGCTCAGGGAATTGTGCAGCTCCTGCTGGTGACACCCGGAAGGTTCCTGAGAGGGACGTGGTGTCCTCCTGTGACATCAGGAGCCTTTCCCTGCAGAAATCCCCGAGCTGCCAGGTGGAACCCATTCCAGTTCAGCTCCTGAATCTCTTCCCCCTGTGTAAAAGAGAGCAGGTGTTAACACTCTGCTTTATTACCTTTTTTTAAAGCTGTGCACGTGCTCTTAGTCCAGCAAGAAGCTTTGGGTTGAACCCAACCTGCTTTTTATTTTTCTGTCCTTTTTTATTCCCTTTGATTTCATTCTCAGTGATGTGTTTCTTCTTGGATTTATTAATTATGTTTAAACTTACTCCCTGTTGTTGAGTTGATTCTTTCTGGCAGCTGTAATTAGCTTGCACCAAAGTAAAAATGATGTGGATTTCTTTTATATTATAAAGCTTTTAAAAGTTTATGTAAATCAGTTGGAAATTCAAATTAGAAAAGCATGGCTTTGTGAAAGGAATTTGAATTGTGTTTGTGTGACATATTGAGTTATTTTACTTACAACATCAGCTTTTGGCTGTATTTCTTTCATGGTTTATTGAATATTTTTTAATTGTGTTCATAATAATCTTGCAGTTTTAGAAGAATTTGTTAATTTAGAAGCTGAATCACATGCTTTCTTGTTTTTTTACATAAATGTTTAAGACTAGTTTAAGAAAATTATCTAACCTTTGAACTTTACCAGGTATCATCAGGTGAAATAATTTATAACAAGACTTGGGTTTTTTTCCCTTAAGGTTGTGCTATAAATTCAGGTGCATTAAGACTTTTTTTCTAGGAGCCATAACAGCAGAAGTTATTAAACTTCAGAAGTTCCCCTTCACCCTCAGAGCCAAGGGATGGGCAGCAGGGCCTGGAGAATTGATAAAACTATTTGAAAAGTGTTGTGGGCTCAGATTTCTCACCATAGGGTTTAGTTTGCACAGCTAAAGTTACAGATTAAGAACTACTGGGGGCCTTCTGACATGAAAATTAATTACACATGGTTTATTTTTTCTGAAACCTGCACTTTCTAAAACCACTGGCTGTAGGGGTGGATGCACTCATAGTGTAGGAATTTGTAACTCTGTATTTTTACTTCAGGAAAATAACTCAGTAATTTAAAAATTTTAATAATCTCTTTTTTCTTTAAATATTATTGGTGTTTTTTTCCCTTATCCACCAAATCAAAATAATTCTACAGTTTAATTAAGATACTGCAGTCATTTCTTCTTCCAAACTCTGAGTGATAGTGACGAGATCTGAATGGTAAATTATAGGAAATGTGCAATCCCCTGCCTTCACCATCACAGTATAGAAATGCAGTGTTCTTCCATAATTTGTGTCCAAAGGTTTCCCACCAATCCATAGATCAGCAGCACAAGATAAGCAAGATGAGGCAGCAATAATCTCGGAACTAATACTCTCAGAATTTAAAGGAATTCTTGAAAACAAAATCTTGACAACAGTCAGGTTTTTGTAGGTGTCCATATGTATTCTTTTTATCTAACTTTTAATTAAATATTCCTATTTACTATTACTTTGCAGTGTGGGAACTGCTGACTTATTAAATCACTCAGCCATTACAAGAGGGGGAATTAAACTGTGTATTAAAGTAGTTATTTAACAAGGGAATGTTTTGGGTTAAGTACATACCAGAACTCTGCAACGTGTTTAATGTGGACTCCACCAATAAGGAAGTATTTGTATCAAATAAGTAAATGATAGTAAGTGAATAAGTATTGTATTTTATTACTCTAAGAATCTTGGACAAGCTCCAGATTATTAAAACTTTGCCTTTTTGGGTAATTATCAGCAGCACATCATTTTGTACTGAGGCAAAAATCCAGGTTTGAAATGCTTGCACTTTCAGGAGGTTGATTTTCTTTCTTTTCTTTGCCCTTCCTCTTCTTTAAAATTAAAATGAGCTTGCTTTTAATTTTGAATGTAAATTAATTAATTTCTGTTAAGAGGTATGAGGGTATGGTGATTGGGGAGATAACAATGCAACAGTGGGAAAATACTCCCTGTTGCAAGGAGTCACAGAGGAGGGTAATGTGTAATTTAAAAATAAAGGACACAGAATGAGACCTGTATTACATTTTAAAAAAACATTTCCTATTTTATAGAAAATAAAATACTTTGCATAGTTAATTATTATGTTTATTTGTACTTCTAAAGAGAATGTGAGAGTTTAAGGGTTTAAATGAAATTTCCAAAAGCAAAGTCTGATGATGCTTTTCAAAGATAGGGATTTGAAAGTGTATATTTAAATATTATTGTATCCCAATGCATTGCTGATGGTTTTCTTTCTTTTTCTGCTTTGCCTGTTGGGGCTGCTCTCTTGGGCACGTGTTACTGCTGAACCCACCTCGGTGCAGTTCACACGATTCCTCTGTGATTCCCCTCTGGAGGTATGTATTCATTCAGGATGGGAGTTTTGGAATGAATGTATTTAATTTATTTTGTTTAATGAATGTGCGAGTGTCCTCTGTGCTCTCTGTATACAGCCAGCCATTGTTAATGGTGGTGGAGGAGGCTGGCACAGAATTCCCATCTCCACCAACTGGTAAGGAAGGTTCTGCTGTTTCCAGAGGAGCCTGAGGACTCCTTTGCTGGGTAATCAGCTCCCACTGAATTTCATAGCAATGCATTTAAAAGTAGAAGCACAAAAGGCCGTGTCTTTCATGGTTTTTGATTTATTTCTATGAAAATCAAAGAATGAATTACTAAACAACTTGCTAAACTTGTATTTTACTGCAATCTGAGGTAAAAGTTGAGGAGAGATGCTGTTCCTTCATTTCAAGTGAGCAAACTGCCCTGGGTTCCTTGCAGTGTCTCTCTTGTTAGTCTCAAAGAGCTCAGGACGGCGTGACTGTAATGAAATTGTCAGGTTATAGTAATTACACTGGTAATTTGATCTGTCCCACTTTGAGTGAATCCATGTGTGGAGAGTTTGTTGCTTTTCTCTGCTGAGTCCACTGGCCTTTGCATTCCTGAAAGCTGAAGAGTAATAGAGCTCATTAGGCTTTATAGGAAAAGGGCTTTTATCACCTCGTCAACTCGTGCAGCAGACTGCCATTATATTCTTAATTTTGTATGGCCATGTAGATGTTGATGCACACTACCCTGCCAGCTTTATACCCATATTGTTTCTTACAGACACTTTTTATTGACATTTTGAAGCTTGAATTAAATTTTGTGTGGCACCACTACAGATGTCTTCAATTAGATGAAGTTAAATAAAAGGGGTTATATATCAGAGGCCAAGGGATTCTTGAAATTCTTTATTCTGAAACAGTTGCCACAAGCGAATCTAGCAGTGTGTAGTCTGTTTACTCTTTTGAACAAAAATAATTTAAAATAAAATTTAAATCTTACATGTTTTCAATTTGTAATTTTTGGAGTTTTTAATGTTATCATTAGCTGCAAATAGTATGAACACTCAAACTCTTCCTGTCTTTTTTATTTCTTCATTTTATTATCCAGTTTAGTTTCTGTTTTGGCTATGGGCTCTGGCAGAAAAAATGAACGCTTTAAAGAAAAGATAGAGTATGAAGTAGCAGAAAACGAGGCAGTTTTGTAGCAGTAAACAGCATAATGTAAAGTGAATTGTTTGAGGTGGTTTTTTAAATTCATCCTTTGATTTTTTAGAGGCTGCATTTAACCATTTGCCATTTTAGCAGTTCCCACAGGCAGATGTGGAATGGTGGTCATGGTTCAGCACAAGGGAACAGCCTGCAGGACTCAGCCAGAACTCTGTGGGCTGGGACCCTGCTCTTGCCAGGATGGGAGGATTCCTGGGAGAAAGTTCCAAGGGAATCCAGACTGTTCAGGGTGATTCCAGACTGTTCAGGGTGTTTCACCTCATTTTTGGTGCTCAGTGAGTGAGGGGGATGTTGGGAGCCAGTTGTGTCAGCATCACTGATGGTCATCTCAGTGTTTGTCCTGCCCAAGCTGTCCTGAAATAGCAGCTGGAAGGAGCCTCAACCCTTGCATGGACCATGGTGTTAGGCAGTTGAGGGATAATTTTGTTTTATTTTCAAAATAGTCTCTAATTGCTGCTTATACTTTTTTTTTTCATCTTGACTGATGTTAAGCATTAAACTGACAATTTTATAAAACTGTTGTCAAAATCATCTCTTTGAAAGAGCTGCTGATTTATGCCTGTTGTTTTGGGTGTGCCTATAGCAATATGTTTTCCAGCATGCATTTATGCTCCATGGGTTTATGCACATTTGCTATCTCCTCTGCCTTTTTGATCACTCAGTGTTACAGGATCTTTCTGGAGCTATTTACATTCCATTGGTTTTTAACCATCCTGAATACTTCAAAGTCATCATCTTGGTTTGCTGCAGCATCATTCAGTCCTCACTGATTCACTACCAGCCTGGAGAGTGTAATAGATCCAGCAGGATGGAAAGTGATCTGTTTTCTGTTATGCAAATGATCATTTGTTCTCATTAACCATGCTGAGATGCTTTTGCACTCCAAAGAATTGAAAGATGTTTGTGAATCTCAATCTTTGCTCTTCAAAAAGCACATCAGCCTCTGCTTTGCATTGTTTTGCTTATTGATATGTTTTAATTTTCAGGAGAACTAAGAAGTGAGACCATTTCAAACCTGTAATTCCCAGGATCACCTTCTTACAAGGTGATATTTGACTGACATTTGATGCAGTGTAGCTCAATTCTAGACTTTTCCAGTCTGGCACAGAATGTGGCTCTGAAAAGAGCCACTACTAATCCCTAATGGAAGTAGGACAGAGCTCTGGAAAGGAAGGTTGCTAACCAAGACGTAGAAATCTGCGATTTGTGTGTGTGCAGTTGGGAAAGGAACTGCTGGAATTAATCACTTTGCTCATTTGGCAAATATTTCTACTAGAGCAGAGAAGTCAAGGGTTTCCTAGCTTTTTTTATTTTCTTTGATAGCATGAATTTAATATCTTGCTCTTCCCTCCATGCACAGCAGAGGGTAAAATTGAAAGGTAGGAAATAAGAAATTTCATGAAGCCTCCCAGAGAAAAATAATCATCCATTATACAGGCAGGACCCATTTTTGGTAATTATAATACAGAAATTTTTATAATTATTATAATAAGCAAAATACCTGTTAAAGTAAAAGACTGACCAGTGTGCTCTGAAGAAATTCTAGTGCTCTCACCATCACTGAAGTTCAATTATAAGAGTTAGTACACTGAGGTACTAATTGGGCAATATATAATACCAGTTCTGATAAATATTTAAATTTTAATCATGGGTTATAAAATGTGAGCAATCAAACATGCTCATGGAATCATTAGCTAGCAGGATATGAAGACAGATAGAATTAACATAGAATATGTTGTATTTTTCTCTGCATGACTGTGTAAACATTGGAGAGAAAATTGTGGTTTCCATTTTGTCCTGGATTTTTTCAATATCATCAGATTATAATAATTCATTGCATTGCAATGGGACTATAAACTGTTAATTTAAAATACTTTGGTCCTTCTGGATTGATTCCAGGGCTAGTGTATAATTTTGGGTAGATAAGCCAAGCCCTTTCTGGTGGGGCTTGCTCCCCTGATGTCACTGGTATATTTTCCACCACCTTTCACAGACACAGTCCCAGTGGAGATGTCAGTGGTGTGAAATGGTGTGGCCTGCTTCAGGAGAATGTTTCATATTCTAGACCTGTTTCAGGTCAAATTGCCTGGATAGTGCACAGGAAATCGAGTTAAAGGAGCCAAGTATTCATTGAGAACTGGGAGAAAATGTAATACTGACAAGCATTACAAAGGATTACATTGTATGAGCATTTTTGAAGGTGGAGGGAAACCTTACTCTTTTTAAAATGTTATTTGCTTAATGTAACAGAGATCCCTGTCTGTTTTGCCTGAAATCAGTGCTGTGCTCATTATGTTTGTTCCAGAACATAGACTCTCTTATATTCATGACATTTCACTGTAATTGCATTAGTGAAATAACTGCAGATTGTGCTTTACCAAAAGTTTTACCTGATGTTAATGCTCAGTTTGCAGAGGTCCAGTGACCAAATCCATGTGCTGCTCTTTGGAGGATTGGGGTCATACACAGACACAGCATTTGTTTAACTTCAGAAGACTTTTCTTTGAGTGAAAATCTTTTCCATAGTGGCTTAGACTATCTTCTTTAACATTCATTAAATCCTATATGATGTATTTTTGACAAAGAAAGAAAATCTGTTTTAACTGAAACTTATTTAAGCAAGTCTGTGTTCTATTACCAACCACATTTCCCCATGGCTTTGAGATGTTTCATTTTTTTTTGTCACTGACTGCACTCTGAAAAGGGAACTTAACCAGTGCTGAGAAATCCTTAGAGAACATCTTTTAACTTGACTGTGTCCCTGCTTAAAAATGTTACCACTGACCATGTGATTTCATTTGGCTCTGTTGAAAAGTTGATGATGCTGAATGAAACCATAACTGTTGGATAAGTGGGCTTTACCTGAAGAAGAAAAGCTGAGTTTAATGTGCTATATCTGGGTTTAGTGTTCTCACATACTGCAGATGGAGCTCTCAAATGTTTCATCATTTCACTTCTAGAAAGCTCCACACTTAGTTTTGTGGTATATAACTATATAAAAATTCAAACGTCTTGTTATGTGGCCTTTATTTTGGGACTTGCTGGTTAGGTAAGCCAGTTGAAATAATTTTTGTTCACGTGATTGATTTCTTTTGACACATGTGGTACCAATTAGAGTAACTTCTGCCTATCATCTCTTCAATCAGGGCTACTGTATCACAATACTTGATTAAACCCACCTTCTGCTGATGTAATGCAAAACAGTTGGTAATAGCAGGCAATATTGTCAGATTTATTGAGTGAGAAGCAGCTTTCTGAAGACCTGGCAATGCAGTGAAAAACATGACTAGATGGATAATTAAGTTGAGCACAGTGGAATTCGGGATTAAAGTAAACTTGACGTGGGAGAAAATGGCATGCCAGAGTTGGTTGTGTAATACAGTTTAAATTAGGGAGATCATTTTCTTCTTGACTTCAAGCATCAGTTTCTGGCTCGAGGTGCTTTACCCCATCCAGAGTCAAACTTCAGTGCACATCCAAAACCACAGCACAAACAATAGGAGTCCCTTGGTGTTCTTGCAGGATTTGCTCTGATGTGGGCTGAGGAAGAAGAGGTTCCACAGATTTTGTTGCCACACAGTTTCAGGTTCTTGGATAAAAAGTGTTTCATTCGTTACAGAGAATAAACAGCACATAAACAATGAGCTCAGGGGTTTTTTTATAAATAGCCATCTGAAATAAATTTAATTGCCACTTTGAGGAAATCAATTTCTATGGCTGGAGTGCTTCCAGTGCTTGGGGATATGGAGGAGAGAACCTGGAGGTTCTTGGTGTGACAGGGAGTGTTGGAAGCACCAGGTTGGCATGCAATAATTCAGTAATAGCTTGAAGAATCATGTTGGTTTGTCCTGTCAGCACCATAAGTGCTGGATGGCAGAGGCTATTTCAGATTCACGTTTGGGATGTGTGATATGTGGGTTATACCCATTGTGAGAACAGCAAAGGACACAAAAGATCCAGTAACTAACCTTGTTTTCCCTGCCTTTCAAATGCTTTTTTTCTGAATACAGGTGGCCAGCAACATTTTTTACAGTATTTAGTTACGTGTTAAAATTCTCTTTAAAATTATTTCCATACTGGAAGTCTGTCAGGGAGTTAATCCCTCTCTTGTTCTCAGGCAGAGCATGCCCCAAACGGACCAGACTGTGGCTATGGCTCCTTCCACCAGCAGTACTGGCTGGATGGGAAGATAATTGCTGTTGGTGTCATTGATATCCTGCCCTACTGTGTGTCCTCAGTCTATCTGTACTACGACCCAGACTTTTCTTTCTTATCTTTGGGAGTCTACTCTGCATTACGGTAAGAGAACGTTTTCCTTATCTGGTTGGATGGAATCGTAAGAATTAATACTTGTTTCTAAACTTGGAGTTTTATTTTTAGTCTAAATATGTACTAGTAACACTACCTTAAGCAATGTAGTTGTGGGGTTGGTTGCCTTCCAGGTAAATTTTTAGTTGTCATCCCTGACTAGGGATGTATCTCTAGTTAGCTAAATACTTTTACAGGTTAAGAAAACATGCAGAAACAAAATGCCTTGATTTTTATTGCTCCTGAAAATAATTTAATATTGCTTGGTTTCAGAAGGAAAAGCCCCTTTTTTTGTCTGAACAGAAATAATTTTTCCTTTGACCTTTTTCTAAGCCCACTCACCAAATGAAATTAATCAGTTTTATAGTTTTATGCACATTGAGGTCATAAATAACAGAGTACCTAAAAAACATTATCTACTGAATTAGTGCTCTCCTGCTGTACTAGCACTATGTATATTTTTCAGGTATGTTAATCTCATTATCTCTCTTCAGAAAGCCTGATGGAGAGAGTAATCCTATGAATTTTAAAGCCTTAAATTAACTATCCAACATGGTCTTGCAAAACAGTAGGAATTGTGGGTATTGCTTTTCACTGTGAACAAAAGCTGTATGTAAAATTGCAAGTTACTGCTTTTCTTCCATAGACAATTTTATGATTCCATTGTTATTATAAGTGAAAAAACCCCAAACCCTAAATGAGTGGAAATACTTGTGTAACTCTATTTTTTCCTTACCTTTTTTGCTTCTCTGCTTATATGAAATAAGTTGGCCACAGACAAGTGTGGTGTTCTCATGAAGCAGCTGTGCCAGATGTGTCTGTGTACAAGTCTGAGTGTGAGAAGCTGTAGCATGAATCTTTTCACCTGTGGGGATTTGCTCTGCACTCTGTCAGGTGCAGGAGGAGCCCTGGAGTTGGGAGATGCAGCTTTGTCCTTTCTCCAAGGGCTCCTGCTGCGAGGCACCTTGTTCAGTGTCACCCTCCAGGTGGGGTGGATGGCACACCTTGAGCTGTGTGAAGCACAAACAGCACTTTAAGGAAACTTCTTACCACAGTTAGTTCATAAATGTTTTTAATAATTAATAAACCACATGCAATTTCATATATCAAAGGTCTAATCTGAATTTGATTGGATTTTTATTAGTATCTGACAATTTTATAGAATTAATCAGAATTAACAAATGTGGAAAAATGTTGGAACCCCTACGACTTAGAATTGATCTTTTTTTCTCTTAATGAACTATGTTTTTAGAACTATTCCATTACAAATGTTAGATAGTTGAAATTAGACCAATTTTTTCCTTACAAGATGAATATATAAAATACTAAGTCCTCCTAAGAATTATTTTTTAGTATTTGTAATATCACATTACTTTATGTAATAATAGACTGACATAATCCATGCTTACGAGTTCTTTAAATGATTTTAAATTTTCTACATAATAAATTTAAAACTTTGTAGCTGCACCATGCGTGCATGGCTCAACTTGTGAAAAAGCAGCTTGTAAATTCTGCAGCATTTAAGGCAATAAAAACGAGTTCCCAACAGTCCTGGAGGAAGCCAACCTCCTTCTTCTTTCAAAAAGGGGAAGAAAAAAAGTTGAGTTAGGGAGGACTTAGGAAGTTGCAAAGGAATCTGATACCTTCCAAGCTGTTGCCAATTTTTCTCCAAGGAGGTTGGACTGCTTTGCTGTCACTTCCACTTCAGGCCACTCAGAATTGTTGCTGCTGAGTTGTAGAAAGGATGGGATTTGAGCATCATTTGAAACATGTAGGCATGTAAGTAGAGAACACGGGGAGAAGAAACTGCCTGGAAATGCCAGTCTTGCCACAGGAAAAAAAATCAAGAAATACTGAGTAATACTGATTTAATTTTAAGGGATAAATTGCCTCCAGTGTTTGTAGATGCTTCTATATGAATGTACTCATATCTTGGATCAGAGAATAGTTTATGTTGGAAGAGATCTTTTAAAGATCATTTATTCCAGCTCCCCTGTAGTGAGCAGGGACATCTTCTTATCCCTCTGACACAGCAAGTAAAACCAGCATCCATTTTTTATCCAATTTGTTACAGAAGTGATCTGCACAGATAGAAATGCTGCAAAAATGATCATTTATAGAGGAAACACTGGCTGGGTCTTTGTGGTAACTGGTTTCCTTGTGCCAGTAAAATAAAAAGCAAACTTTTTTTGGAATACATTCACATTTATCTTTCAGAATAAATGAGAAAATCATACTAACAAACATGGGATGAGTAAAAATACCTTTTGTTGCATAAAGATGGATGTTTTTACATGCAAATTGCTGGAGCATAAATGATGGAACAACCAAGAGGCTTATCCTTGAAGCTTATTTTTCAAAATACTCTGATGTTTTCCTGAGCCTTGTTAACCAGTAGAATTCCAGAACACCAGTACCAATTCTGTAGAATTCCAATGTACACAAATATTGACAAGAAACATACTAATCAGAGGGTTTTAGTAATTTTTATTTAGATATCAAATCAGGCAGTTGGCAGACCAAAACACGAAAATGAAAGTATTTTTAAGCCTGACATGGTGTTGTGCATTTTCTTGATTTGTTTGTTAGGTTTCCAAGTAATAATTTTCAGTTTGTTATGTTTGGGATTTTTAAAAACATTAGTTTAGAGTTTATGATGCTAATTTTTATTTTATAGAAGTCTAGTCCTTTATAAAGTCCTAGAATAAGAGCCAGATAGCTGTAAAATATTTCAATATGAAGAGGTAAAATGGCTTTAAGAATTGTATTCAAATGTAATTAGTCTTTTCTTTCCCCTCACAGGGAAATTGCTTTCACCAGACAGCTTTGTGTAAAAGCTCCTGATCTCTGTTTTTATTACATGGGTTTCTACATTCATTCATGCCCCAAAATGAGATACAAGGTAACGTGTGTTTTCACTTATTTCCTTAGTGTGCTGTCAAAGCTTTTGACAGTGTTCATAGTAATATAATATTTTGTAATTGTCATTTTGGATTTTAATGTAGATTTTATATGGTTAAATTTGAATGCTGGTTGCTATTTAACTTGGCTTAGGGATATTTTTTTTTCCAATTTAGTTGCATGTGCTATTTAATACATCTTGGCTTAAGAGAGGTTTTCAAGGCTGTCAGATCATGTTTGTCATTTGCTTACCTGGCTATCTCAAGTTTACAGGGTCTCTTTCAGTGCACTAAAGTTCTCCCTTTTTGAGGCTGGCATATTTGGAACTGTTGCTTAGTGACTCCAGGAACTGATAAGATGTCTTCTTGGGCTTGGCTGGGTTTTACTCTTTATTTTTTCTTAGAGGCTCTGTCCATGAAACCAGTGAGAAGTTTGGTGAGCAGAGATTTTGAGGCAGAGCAGATTTTGAGGAGAGGATCAGGAGAATCCACAGAACACTTACAGTAACAACTCTGGCTGCTGTGTAACCCCTGTTGGCTTCACCTCTGTTCAGACCTTGGTGCCTAAGGGTGTCTCTCTTGTGGTTTTAGATCTTGTGAATGTGGTGCCTTTTCTCTTTAAATGCGTAATTGCTTTTGGATATTAATATGATACAATTTCAGAGTACTGAACATTGATAGCAATTTGATGAACCCTTACACATAACCATTTTTATCTGTTAATGTGGAAAGATAAAAAGTTCACAAAATCTAGAGAAAGAGGTGAAGTGTTTTCATTTCTTTTTTTCCCCTCTCAAAATATGCTAAAAATCTGCAGTGTTTTCAAATGGCCAAAAATTGTGAGGTTCATTAAAGTGATGGTTGTGAAGGAATTTCACAGGAATTTCATCTTGATTATGGCCTGCACTACAGGTGACCATGATGATTCAGTCTTCTGAAAATAACAAATCCCTCTTGTTTTGTTAGATGATGTGTTTATGTGTGTGTGTCCCCTTTGCCAACTTGAATTTTCTTGTCCATCTGCTGGCCAAAGAAAGAAAACATTAAGTTTGATGGAAGAAGATGGGTGAGTTGGAAAAATCTGCCCTCTCTCATCTGATTCATCTTAAAGGCTGTCCCATCACCAGCTTGAACCAAAGGTTTTGGTTACTTCCTCTACTCTTTGCAGATATTTAGAAGTTTGGGGTGATTTGTTTATGTTGAGACACTGCAATTTAGCATCCCTTGTGTCTTCTACAACCTGCATGGTGCAAGACTTGTAAAATGAGTAGATGTTGTTTACCAGGGCACTTAAAAAACAAATCTGGCAATAATGGCAAAAAAAAACCCATTTCTGAAAGATATCATGTCTAAGAAACTTTTGGGCTCAGCTGCTTGTAGTGCTTTACCAAAGAAATGAACTCTGTGTGCACGGATTAAATGAAGCTCATACACGAGGCACTGCATTAAAGGAGCCACTCTACATTTGTATTATTTATTACAATAAATAATGTTTTGTTGAGCCTGTGCTGCAATTTGAAAATGATTGCATCAAGAATACAACACTCCCACAATGCTTCTAGATTTCATTCTTAAATAATGGAAATTGATTAAATTGTAGTGGGAGTATTTTACTTTTTGTTTCCTTCACAAAAGCTCTTTTTCTTCCCTTGCTTAGAATTAATGACTATTTGATATGACTGTGATTTGGTAGAATATACATTTTAGTCTTCCAGAAACCTACCAAAGTCAATGTGTTGGGTAATTAAAGCTGGAGCAGGGGAGGATATGAAGAAAAGCTGTACCTGTGTGATTAGAACACACATAATGCTCTCTGCTGGGACAGCAGTAATCCAATAAATGAATTGCAAGGAGCTTTGTTCTATTTTATATTTCCTTTCCTGGATGCATTTGTTTGAGAAGGAGACAAAAGTAATGAAATTGAAAATCAGGTTGACATTAATTCTCTAGTTCCACTTTTCCCTCACCGAAACAGAACACCAGAACCAAATTATCAAGCTAAGCTCTGAAATGCATCTGGATAATGCTGCTGCTCCTGTAAGTGATTGGGAGTGGTGAAGTAGGGTGGAGAAGTACTGATTTTGCAGATTAAGTAATTTCAGTAGTGCCTGGTTGACTTGGAGGCATTTCATGTTAAAGACTTTGCTTTTTTGCAGTTTAATAGAGAAGTTAGAGGCTCCCTTCCCTTAATGATACTGCTGTGAAAGAGAGTGACAGGCTGTGGGTGGCTGATGTTAAACTGGTAAAGAAAGAAAGAGAAGGAGCTGAAAAGCCATCCACTGGATTTCTGGCCTTCTTCTTGTAATTTTATTTGAAAATTATTTATTTTGGGACCTTCAGAAATGGAGGCTGAGCACAGGAGCAGTTCTCTGTATGAGAAGTGCCTTATGAGAACACAGCATTTATTTACAGTGAAGGCAAAGATTTGGAGGATAGTTATTGGGGGTCAGTTTGTGACCATTTCATCTGCGGGGTTCTCTTTGCACATCTGGTACAATTTGGTGTATGAATGGGGTGTAACTCAGTGGAGGATTGGAGGCCTGAAAGTCCTGGAAGCAGATCCCAGAGCTGGGATTCCTGTGGCACAGTAACAGAGCTGGAAAATTCTGGATTCTCAGGCAGGAAGATGAATGGTTAGAGTATCAACTAACCCATGGATCAGACATAATTACAGAGGTTTTTAAAATAAAGCTCCCTTTTGAGTCACTGTTCCCATTCCTTTTGTTCCCCAGCAGCCAACATTGATTGCAATGGGATTTTAGAACAGTGGAGTCCCAGTGAAATTTCTTAAAGATGGGGGAAGTGACTCCATTGCAAAATTATCTTTTAGTTCCCAGCCCCTCTCAGATTTGTTCTCTTGTATGGGTTAATGTTTACTAACTATTAAAATAAAATCTACATTAAATTGAGACAAAAGGATTCCTATAGTCCTGTTATGTTAATATGGAAAAATCCAGTGAAAAACCTTAAGCAATGGCTTTGTTCCATTTTTTTCTGGGTAGGTTAGGGTAATACAAGATTTAAATGGTTCTCTGAAGAAATTCATGACCTTGTGAGAAACCTTCTCAGGCTCTGTTAGATGTGGTAGTTCTCACATTGGAAAATAGTCTCCTGGAAAATTTTCCAAGAGTCATACGATGCAAAGTCTTTTTACTAATGCATTTTGGAGTGTGTGATAAAGTTTTAAGCATAAAGAAAGTATTTTACTTGAAAATCAGGTTGGTCTCAGGGTTGCTTCTCATGTGTTTAAGTCCTCTCTGTGTACTTGTTAATGATTTCAGGTAAATGCAGTAATATGCAAGCATATTTATGGAATTACAGAAATAAAAGAAGCGCCTTTAGCAAACAGCCATATCAGAGAAATGCTTGAGAGAACCTTGGATTTTCTTTCTGGATTGATATTCTGTCTGTTTTATCCTGCAGCCTTCAAGTAAAAAATTTCACTCTGTGGCTCTATGTTACTAAATTCACATTTTCCAATCTCTGAACTCTTTAAGGTCGTTTCTGTTCTTTCCATTGCAGTCCTTTCACACTGATTTTGAGTCTCATGGTGGGTGACGTTAAATGGATTTTGAGGTTGTGTTTCTAGAAATAATAAGTGTGTTTGCTGCCTTGCATTAGCCATTTGGCCTCTGTTGACCTTAAATCCCTTTCTCCTCTAAGTTCTTGTGCTGGGAAGAATTTGTTGGTGAGGTTTTCTATGTGAGTTTCCTTACTTCTGGGTTTTGTGGGGCTTTTTCAATGTTGGGATTTGCACAGATCTTGTGAACATAATGCCTTTTCTCTTCAAATGTATCATTGCTTTTGGGTGATACAATTTCAGAGTAGAACATTGACAGCAATTTGCTGAACACTTACACATAATCATTTTTATCTGTTAGTAATGTAGAAAGATAGAAAGTTGGAGCATGGATCATTCCTTGTTTGGGTCAAGGATGTCCTTCCCCTGGAGGCCACCCCACTGGTGTTGGTAAATAACTCTCAGAGCACTTGGAAGTGCACAGCAGATTTAATGTCTTTGTGCTCTGTTATCTCTGTGTGCCATTTTAAGGCCATTCTATGATGTGAAGAGGTGTTTTGACTGAAACCTTTATCCAGACTTGTATGCAGGCCAAAGTAAATGGAATTATTTCAAACAGTCTCCTTTGGTATCAAGTCATGGCCAGACTTCAGATAGATGGAATACTAGAAAGGGCTCTGAAATGTCAGAAAAGAAACAAAAGGCTGATTCAACTGTGATTAATCATTCTTAAACTAAATACCTCAGACTGACTGTGGTTGTGAGTGGTGCCCCTGGAATTTTATGGCACTTGAGAGCCAATTTCTTTGGCTGCTTTCAGGAATTTCAGCATCACTCCTCGTGCAGCAGTGAAATGCATCCAGTGGTAGCCTGCATGTCCACGTCCACCAGATCCACAGGAGTCTGGCTCATCTTCCCCTGTCCAGACTCTTTCACCATGTCTCACTATGGAATTTAGTGAATGTTTTCAGTAAGCTCAGCTTTGCTGTGTAAAGTGAAATTTGTGAGGGAAGGAGATTTCATGTGACGTGCCTTAATGTGATCCTCTGATTTTGGGGGTGTAAGCACATGCTTGTTATGGTTCTGCCACTGACCAGCAAAAAGCTTTGCTAAATGTGTCACTAGCTCCACACAAAAAGAGCTTTTATACCTTCGTGTGTCATCTTTTCTTTCAGCCTCCTTTTCTCATTGGTATTACTATTTACCTTAAATTGGGAAAAATATGATTAGCTGGGAGTAGTCTGGAGGACTGGAGCTGCCCTGAAACTAGTGGCTTTTCCAGGATTAATTTTGTAAGTTTATAGGAATAAATCTGCATTGCAATTAGCACAAAACAACTTTTTATGCAAACAGGTCATAAAGAGTCAACTAAATATCCTGAAAAGTCAGTGCTTCTTATAGAGTGCCATGTTGTTGCTTGCAGCACCATTTGATAATAAATGAGTGAAGTATCTGCATTGTAAAACTATTATTTAAGAAAGC